CCTTTGTGTTGCCTCCTTCCCACTGGGGTCTGCGGGGTGGCCAGCGAGAGAGCGCCCCTCGGCCAAGTTGCTCCTTCGGGTGGCTGTCTGCGAGGGGAGGAGTCGGGCGGGTTCAAGTCTCGTGTGGGTCGCGGAAGCAACGGTGGGTGAGTTGCTCCAAACTGCACTGCTGCCCTCCCCCCCACCCCCATCAAAATCCCCAAAGCGCAGCGAGCCCATGCTGCCCGCCGCCGTGCCCATGCGCCCTGCACCGTCCCAGTCCCACCCCTGCCAAAAGCCCTGTTCAGCCAGCCTCTGCTCACAACTTGGCAGCCTCTGCCCCGCCCGCTCCCACCCCCTCCGGGCTCACTCTGGTGCCGCTGCCCCCATGGCTGCCTGGCCCTCCCCTCCCCACTGGATGCATCCTGCCTGAATCAAACGACAAACGTAACGATCTCTGCCGTCCTGTTCCAGGCGACAGAGACGGAGAGTTTCCACAGAGACAGGAAACCTCTCTCGGAAACGACGGCCATGGGGGTGAAATGTGCAGAGAGATCAATAGCATTGGGGAAAGCGCTGTCTCAAGCAGACCAGATAAGCCAAACTCAGAATCATCCCCACCTTTTCTCTTCTCTCCTCCTCCTCCCTCCATTCTCCCCCTTCTTTGTTCCTGTCGGCTCAGAAAAAAGGGGAGGGAGTGGGGGGACCTTCAAACATCAGGGGGGAGGGGGCTCTGATCTCATGAGCAACCCATTTGGCCCCTTTTGCATCGAAGTTTGTCCTCCATCCCAGGAAGATAAAATCCTTGCATAAGACCACTCCTTTGAATAACAAAGGAGGACGGACAGAGGGCAGCTGGTGGACGGGACTGCGGAGGCAGTGGCTCAGCTGGGGAGGAGGGATGAGGCCGGCGCTGCTGCCTGCCTCGGCCAGGTGAGGCTCAGCCCCTCGAGGGTGGGCCAGCAAGGGAGGCGAGGCTCCTTCCCGCTCCAGGACCTGGGCAGGGGCGAGGCTAGCTTTGGTGCCTGGTCCCCCCCCCCCGGGCCTGTTTCTGGGAGGTCTCCAGGCCCCACCGGGAGGTTGGCATCACCTGGGGGCGCCACAAGCTGGCCTCGCCTAGGGCACAGAAACACCTTGGGCCGGCCCTGGGCACATGACACAGGGAACCCAGGCTTTGGAACACGCTGTTTCATAAAGGGGTTTTTTTTGTTTCTTCTCTGTCTGCACAACACATTCTAGTCATTTACTCTACTGTTTTGCTTTATGCTGCTGATATTCTTGTTTTGTTGTTTGTTTCTTTTTGTATGTGTTTTTGTAGGTGGTTTTGTATTTGCGTTGACGTGTTTATTTGTGTCTTTTAAAAAATTTTAAACTGTACTGTTATCATGTTAAAGATACAAGTTTATTTCATATTAGAATCCTAAATTAAATGTTTCAATAACTACAATAACGGAGACACATTCTTCATGCCTTCCCTGGTGTATGAAGGTGCAAAAGTTTTCTATTATCAGAGAGCCAATGTGCCCTCTTTTATCTAGTTTAGTCTATAAGCTTCCTGAACTGGATATATGTCATTCTGGAAGCAACCTCATAAATGTCATGATGATCTTGGAAAAATTAACGATAGTTGCTCAGTGGAAACTGCTAACAACTATAGCTGAAGAGGATGGTATGAGCCATGCAGAGATTATAGATACCATATAAACAGATTGGGAGGGGAAAGTCTTCCCCTTACCCTCCCACAGGAGTCTCTTGTGATCCAGAAAAAGGAACTATCAGAAGTCAAGGGACCCTCATGGATCAAAAGCCATAGAGAGGAATCAGGTGCAACTGCCTATCCTTCCTTTGCCAGCAGATTTCCTACTGAGGGAAGGTCATTTTCACCCAGTTCCCTTCTTCACTGCAGCCTTCCTCACTACATGTCTTTTTGTCCATGAGATTCCTTTTGCAATGCCCACACAAGGGGATACACTGGAAGCCATGCAGCAATTGAATATTGCACTTTACCTGAATAATTTTGGAGGTAAGATGCTGAATCGTGTCTTATCTAAAATTTTCTTGATTCTGTTTCTCCCACCAGACACAGTATTTGCTTTGATTTTCTTGCTTCCTTTCTCACGTGGAAACATCTGTTCTACATCCCCAGGAATATCTGGGATAGAATAACGATTATTTTTCTTTTCTGCAATTTTGGGAATATGTGGAACTCCATTCTTCTCCTGACCAATCCTGCTAAGCAGCTCTTTGAACACTGTAAAAAGAACATCAAACTACTGTAAAAAGTACATAAAACTACTGAAAATTCTAAAATTATTTTTTAAAAATGATAAACCTTAAAAATAAACTTTTAAAAAGTAGAATTTTATGATCACTTTGTTCTGAAGGACAATGTATTACACCGTTACTTCAAGAAATGAGACTTTTATAGCAACAAAGGGCAAACAGCTGGGACAGCATAAGATATTGATGAGTTACATGAGTGATGGTTTGGTATATGGTTTTCAGGTTTGGGCTGCCCACTGAGCTTAACTTCTTTGCTGCTCATCATTCCTTGATCATCACACTACTCTATAAAGACAAGGTTTGTTTTGTTTTGTGTACGTGTTAAAACATAAACTGCACAACCAAGTTCTATTTACTTTATACGCTGTTCAATATAATCATAATCTAACTTCTGTTTCAAATACATTCACTTTCAATACTGTCTAGGATCCAAAAAGGTCTGGACACAAGCAGTTGAGAATCCTACCAATTTATCATTCTGGAGACCGTTCCTTGTACCTCATGGACTCTAAAGCATTCTCAAACTTTTGGGCCTGGTGCATGGAATATTACACACAGCCCTTTGGATCCCAGCTACCATGTCCAAAAAATGGCTATAGTCATGTGTAAAAACAATAAAAGCAAACTCAAGAACCATTAAGGATATGTTTCAAACTTTCCAAGTCTCTATAGCTGTATATATCTATCTATTTGTACATCTGTACTTGACAGCCAGGGTGGTGTAGTGGTTAGAGTGTCGGACTAGGATTTGGGAGACCCAGGTTCAATCCCCACTCCATCATGGAAGCTTGCTTGCTGACCCTGGCCTAGTCCCACATTCTCAGCCTAACCTACATCATAGGGTTGTTGTGGGGGAGGTGAACAATGTGAGCTGCTTTGGGACTCCACTGGGGGGAAAGATGGAGTATAAATGAAAAAAACATGAAAAATAGCATTTTAGTCTTATAATCTGTAAGAGTTTTGCTTTCCTCCCACTGTAACTACTACAGCAGAAGTGCTAATGACTCATATTTCTGTCTTACCAACCAACAGCTCAATCTAGCTGCAAACTGCCAATCAAATTACATTGCATGACTTATATGATATTTGCAGCCGTATGATATAGCTGAGTAGATCTGCAAAGGCAGAATCAAAGAAAAATTAAAATATGGCCCAAAGGACTAGATGGCATCTGATATATATATATAGATGTGTGTGTGTGTGTGTGTGTGTGTGTGTGTGTGTTGGTATTTTTCGGCTTTGGGTATATCAGACCCGAAAAATATCAGTAAATGCCAAATATCCCCAGTTCGATACTAGTAAAGTATCATGACCGGGGAAATATTCGATATTCCTGAATATATATTCGGGTCTGATATACCTGACAGGAGGGAAGGGAGGCATGTAAAAATGCCTTCTTTCCCTCTGGAAGCCGGTTCAGCTGTCCTTGTCCATTTCACTACCTGCCAGTCAGCTGTTAGGGTTAAGCCATTTAAATCAGGGGAGTGAAACTGTCAAGTGAAAGCCTCCTCTCTCTGCCCTTCCTTTCTCTAGCTGACCCAGGGTAGCTAGAGAAGAGAAGGCAGGGAGCCCAGGCATGTTCCCATGCCTGCCCTTTGCTTCCCCAGTCCCTCCCACTGCAGCGAGTTGGCTGAGGAAGCAAAGGGCAGGCATGGAAATATGTCTCCTTCCCTCCCTGAGCTTCTCCACCACTGCGGAGAAGCTCAGGATGGGGAAGAAAAAACCCCCAGCAAGTTTAAATGCCTTTCTTTCCCTCCTCGACATGGGGAGGGAAAGAAAGGCATCTAAACATTCCTGGGTTCCCCCCCTCCCCTTCTCCAGGGACCCCGCGGCTGTGCATCCAAGGAAATTTAGACATGTTTATTATGCCCCATGTGATACAATGGCTCACTTTATCAGATGTAAGGGGTAATTAAAAGGCAGCTTGTGCTGTGGAGCCTGCCAATTAAAGGATGAAATATTAGGCATAGAACTTGACTTACCAAAAATGTTTGTTTTTACAGTAATAGAAAGATGAGTATTGTTCTTCAGTATTTCCATAGCTTTTGCAAAAGTAATGTTCTCAAAGTTTTGCCCATTGACTTCCATTACCTTTGGAAGAAACAGAAAGAGAAGTATTACAACAGTCCATTTTGAAACGTTTTGTTATCAAATTATCAAAACAATCTTTTAATGCAGCATCATAAAGCAGTTTTTTCTTGCGTTTGTATGTTTGTGCTGGACAGTTTTTGGGGATTACCTTCTTACTTTCCTAATGGCTATCAGCCTTGACAACGAAATGAAACCTCCCTGTTCAGAAGCAGCAAACTTCTGAATACCAACAGCTAGACGGCAACAACCAGGGGAAGTTCTGCCCTGCTTGCTAGCTTTTTAGTTGACCACTGTAAAACAGAATGCTCACTAGAAGAACCACTGGTTTGATCCAACAGAGTTACTTTGGACTACTTTTCTTGATAGAAATTATCTTAAATTACCTTAAAATACCCTTACTAACTTTTTATCAATGTTTTCAAATAGGTCCAGTTCAGACATGGCCAGACTATACAAGAATTCTGAGAAATGTGCTCCACGTTTATTTGCTCCCTCCTTCCCATGTGTGCACTGCTTCCCTCCCACAGTTCACGGCAATCACAGTTTGCCATGATGTGAGACATGGGCAAGCAATGATTTTTTAAAAATTTTGTTTTAATATAAAAAACTACAATACAAAATGGCGACTCTTTGTCAACGATTACACAGTGAATAATAGCATAAAAAGTCTATATATAAAAAAGTCTCGCTTAGGAAATCTAGACTAACCAAATACCAGTAACTTGTATTTGGCATTAGATATAGTTTCCCAATCAAAGATGTCAATGTCCATTTTATCTAAGATAGGTTACCAAATATTTAGAGGATTGGAAAAGTCACTCTCATTTTGATTACTGGAATGATAAATTGAGAAATTGTCCAACATGAATAGATCCCATACTTTATACCACCACTGAGTTATATTTGGCACCTTAGTATCTTTCCAATACCTTGCAATTAGAATTTTAGCCGCTGTGGAAAGAATACTGATTAATTTTTTGACTTTTTCAGGAGGACCGTCAGAGGGCCATAAACCGAGGAGAAGAACAGCCGGCGAAAAAGGTAAGTTGTAATTTGTTAATTTGTGAATGCAGTTTGTCTTTAAACCAGAATTATTAGCCATAATTTGAAATCTGATTCTGATTTATGGTTTGGAAGCAAATTACAGTCAAAATAACTGTAGTCTACCTTATTGAGACAGTGCTACAAAGAATGTTTACCACAAATCAGGAATAAGATGAGGGAATGAAAAACCAAAAGAAGGCGGGAGTATGATCTGGCTGTGCTGTCTGAACAAGGTTGACACAGCAAATGACTCAAGTCAGTTTCTTCAACAGAATGGATTTGATCCCATCTAGGAAGTCCATGCATGGAAGCGTGACTCCCCCATTCACAAGAGCCCAACACGCCCCCCAAAAAGCTGCTCCTGAGGGATCAGTGACCCTTAAGAGTAACGTAAGTGTAAGGGCTGTCACAGGAGGGGGGAATCGGTGAAATTCACTCCACCCTTTCTTTGGATCTTTTCAATTGGATCCAAGTTATTACAGTTTACTTAATTTTGATAGCTTTATATAAGATCATAACTGAGGTTTTATTTTACCTGGTCACCGCGTTTAAGCCCAGCTTCTGCTGCTTTGCTTCCTGATTCCACTGTCTCTACAAAAATACCAAAACCTTTATCGCTTCCTTCAAGGAGGCTGAAGAAAAGTGGGGAGTCTCTGGAAGGTTTCTGCAATGTAATCTGTCTCCACTTTGCCTTGGCAGCACAGGCAATGTTTAGTAACCTAAGGTGCCCCTTCATTTTCTGTAAACAGACAAACAAATAAACATCTCCCCGTTCTATACATAGATGAGATTGTAGGAAAGAACCCATGGAAAGAAGACAGTCTCACAGAACCATTCTCAGGACCTTCAAAGCCTTGTTCTTTAACAAAACTGTCAGGAACCTGAATTACTTGCATCACTTCTTGGATACCTAATTTTTGAATGACATACCCAAAGTAATGCTCAATTAAAAACTGCTATTTTTAAATTTGTGCTTTCAGTATTATGACAAAGAAACAAAATAAAGAACACAGCACAACAACACCATTAATTGTGGGACTTACCGCATTTTCCAAGTTTTTTTCAAATTCTTCCAAAAAACGTGTCATGGCTGGATCTCCCTCAAAGTCATTAAAATGGTTGTTTACCCATAAAAGTACGACTCGAGTAACCTAAGAACAAGTGGATACATAAAGATAACAAGGAGGCAAGTTTTTTGTAAGAGAAAAATGTCCTTTTTAACAGAACATTAGCACTGGCAACTACCTAAACAACGTCAAACTTTGTTTCCTCTATGAGCTAATTTTTCATTTAAAAAAAATGAAAACCACTGGCTTTCATTAAGTAGAGAACAGGTGTGCTACACAAACTTATTTGGAGCAACAATTTTCTTCAGGATCCCTACAGGTGCTTATGCATCAATATTTCAAAGTTACAGTCACAGTGAAATGTTGGTCATTTCATTAAGGGTTGCTTCTAAGAGACTTAAAAAGCAGGAGTAAAGAAATTTATATCTTCATTTTATGACAAGGTAGTCAATGGAGTTATAAAATTACCGCTTTGCCTCACCAGAGGCAGACTCAGCAGTCTTAGAGACTGTTCAATCCATTTTTTTTAATGTAAAATCTATCCCACTTCCCTGTTCACATACAAAAATGATTCTTGTTCTGAGTAGCAAGGTTTTTTGTTCCCCTACATCCAAAGTTACTGGTGTCTACATATAACTTCAGAAGTTGTACTAATAACTGTAGCCATACTTCCTCACTGCATACTTCCCATGCTTACAGTCATTAAGAAGGGAAAGCATAGACAGTCATTTACATTTTGTTATCAAGGCAACTTTCCAAAGAAGAAAAGCTTACACACACACATGCTTCTTATTTCTTAATTGAAAAAAATAGTGAATGGTTCAGAAGCTTTAACAAAAAATCTTGCCTTAAAGATGAAAAACATAGTTAAACAGAAATATAAATAGGATGCCATTCACTCTGGAGATTTTCTCTCTATGGCTGACGCTGCTAGCCAACAGATGTTCAATAGTGGGCCCACCACTATTCTATATAGATCTTATTTAATTTTATTTTGTCAATGTGAACTCCAAAGTCTTAGTGAACTCCAAAAAGATGACTTGAAGGAATCAGTTAAAGAATGAAGCTCATTAATAAAATAAGCATAGTCTGCCTACAGATTTCACGTAGACAATTTTTAATCAGATGATGTCTAGGTTCCTCATGCCACACAGCATCCCCATTTATCATGTTCTGAGTATGTGTCTGGAAATTTAGATTAACTGCACAAGCAAGAGTGATATCTATTCACAGCACACAGGAATACACAAGACCTAAGCAAGACCTAACTGGTGATCTCTAATTTATAAACCAACCTTGTCCCTGAGATTGTCTACTTGAAACCACTCTAAGAGTTTGCCTCCAACTTCTAGAGAGCTTGACAGAAATGTTCTGTATGTTAAGAGAAAATCTTCGATGTATGTTGGATCCACAATAGAGTGTTCTTCTATTAAATGCATGATGAGCCGTTCAGGTGTTGCCTTAAAAGCAAAACATATTTCAGTGTATCACAAAAAATTCTATGCCTAATAACAATATTTCTTTTTGCAATATAATTAGCCAAGATTTATTTGGAGAAAAATTCACCCAGTTTCTTAATCTTTTATTATTTTTAGAACACCTGAAAAACTGGTTTACTTTACTCTCTTTTAATGCATTAGAATGCAGATCAAGACTTCAGAAAGCCAAAACATTAAATGACTTCTAACTACCCACTGACACATTACTTTCAAACACCATAGTAATTTGAATTTGAGAAACTAACAAAGTAATCCTATGCAGAGTTATTCCAGATTAAGCCCTGGAGTAACTCTGCATAGGAGTAACTATAAATAAAAACTGAACAATTTACAAAAATTGAATAACTGCTAAATCCTTTGGAATATTTATACAGATACATATATAAAGTTACCTTAATGACTATGTGTCCTTTCCTGGTTCCACTACGGTCCAGCTCCCTGTGCTCCTTCACCATAACAATTTCTCCTTCTTCTTCAACTTTGTGTGTATTTTTTTCAACATGGTTTAGAATTCTCCAGTAGTCCTGCTGAGCTATACAGACAAACTGTCCCAGAATATAAAAGGACAATTAATATACTGACAGTACCACAAAATCCCATCTGTTGCTTAAGCCTGGGCAGATGTAATGCAAAGCCAGCAAAGCATCATTAGAAATAATTTTATTCTTATCTCATCCCAGTCTCTCCAGTTATTGGTCAGAGACAATCCCTATGGACAGCAGTAAAATCTAGATGAAAAGTTAAACTGAAGAACTAAAAACGTGCATTTTCTGTTTAACTATACTGAATGCATTTCAGCCCACACATCTTTTCTAAAAAAACAAATGCAACAGTTCCTGTTTCTTGAACAGCTGATATCAGCATAAAAACTACAAGAGGTTACAGTTAACTAAAGAGAGTTTATTGATTTATCCTATTTCTGAAATGAGCATTTAAGTAGAAGCAAATCCTAACTTTTATAAGAAGCTTCAAAACAGCAGAATATATCACTACTAAGTTATCTTACCTGGCAGTCATCTACTTTGGTCCTAACCACACCATTCATGTATTGCTTTTCCAGTGAGGGGGTAATCCCAAAACTATTTCCCATACAGAGACTTTCTGTTTTTCCATCAGGATGGCTGATCTCCACTGTTCCATTTAAAATTACATACCAAGAATCAAGCTAGAAAAAAACACAAACATAATCCTTTAGAAACTTACTAAAGGTCAAATGAGTCTCCTGTTCACCTAGAGATAGGTCAGTATGCTTCTGCAATGATGGTATGCATTCAATCTAACAAACAGATTATTAATTGTTTATATAGTGATCATTTCCCTTCTTCATTGTCTTTGGCAGAATTAATGAACTGAACGAAAATTATTTCTTGAGTATCACAATCTTTGAATATTTTAAAAATGGATACAGGCTGTCTCATCACAATTAGTGTAGAACCATTTAGAAGTTGGATGGAAGAAAATGAACCTGAAGGACAGAACCATGAAAGGACTTCTGCTGGGCGAGTTCTGTGGAGTCATAAAAGGATTCATTCTATCTGTGTAGACAGAAGTACAAAAAACAATAGTATTATACACTACTTACTTCTTGCCCATCTTCAAGGATGATGGTTCCTGCTTGCTCTACTACTTCAAATATCATCACTGAGCAGAGTTCCCTTCTTACAGACATAGTCATGTTTGCAAATGCTGGAAGCTGATGCATAAATTCCAGTAGTTGTTCTTGCAAAACAAAAAACAATAAGTGTTAGCAACAAAGAAAGAACTATTATGTATGATGCTAGGTATGGTGATTTTTAACAATCCTTATCTGTGGCATTCACTTTATGCTACATTCTAAGGGTGGTGAGAATGTGAAGACTCAGGGAGGGGAAAAAAATAAGAGATTGTCATGTGGTACTTCCCTAGTTGTATCACATAGTTGTATTACTTTCCCAGCTGTATTCATGTTATCCCTTTAAATAATTCTACGCAATCCAGAAGGAGGAATTAAACGCCACCATATCTGGTTAGGTCATCTAGTTTCTAATTAATATTAACCTCCATAATATTACAGGTAACTTTAACAGACCCCTTTTAAGACAGACCCATGCACAGAAAAGTCACTTTTACTTCTCACCAATATCATCGTCTGTTTTGTCAGCTGGCTCTTTTTCAAGGCACTCCCGTACAACATCTCGCCCTAGCAGTGGATCTGAAGTTCTGTCAATGTCTTCATCTTCTTCTTCTTCTTCTTCAGAATCTACTGGTGCCTCTGGGAGCCCAGTTAAGTCTACATCTCCCATTTCACTTTCAGTAGCCTGCAAATAAAGTAGTGAATGGTCTTTATTGATTAAAAATGTCCACAGAAGCTGACAAAAAACCCTAATTAAACAACATTTTTTTAAAAAAATTACAACATACTTTCTACTTGAATAAAACGATAGCAGTGGAAAATTATAACAGAGGTTGGAAGTATTCAGGAGGAGGCTCAAAAGAGCTACATAGTTCAATTTGATGCCTAAAAAGAGTAAATGATGCTGTCAAAGGTCCATCAGTGGGGAGGATGTTCTAAAATAATTCACTGGAACAGGGAAAAAAACACTCAAGAAAATCAAGGTTCAAGAGAATCAACACAATTACATTCCCTCTGTCTTGGTATCAGAGCAACCAACCAGTTTCGGTGCCATGACTGCATCCAAAACTGAACTGAAATGCATATGGATAATGCATTTCATCCAGAAACATATAGTACTGAGCTGCTACCCCCTGCACAGACACTGGCCTAAACAAAAAATTGTTGCAACAGTCAATATTTAGTACAATTGCCATAGTTCAGGTACAGCTTCTCAGGTGCATCCTAATAACTGTTTCCTTTGACAAAGCTGGAAACATCTCTTTTCTCGGGTACCCTGCCCATACATGTTCTAACCCAAGAAAGCCAAGTGGTAGCCCTCACCATCCTCATACTACAGGAGCAGAAACTATTCATTCTGGTTCTGTCATCTACCTTCCCTGTAGCCTGAGTGTCCAGCATATAGGTTGACTGTACTGAGGCAAGCCCGACTCAGTATGAAAGGTGCCTAGCATGTTCTTTAAGTGTCAGTAGTTTAAGTAGTTCTATTTACATATAGATACACTTTAAAAACAATGTTCCCAAAGCGAATGTGACACAAATATACAGATTGTCTATATATATTTTTGCACTTCTGAACTGGTAGGGAAAAAACCTCACTGCTGACTTTTGGAGTGCTTGTTCTTGAATGATGTATGATAGCTCCTTTAGCTCTATAACTCAAATCTGCTACATACTATTCAGCAAGTGTGAAAGCACCTTTATCTTGATAGCAGGCAGAAAGAGAACTAAGCAAGTGTGAAAGCACCTTTATCTTGATAACAGGCAGAAAGAGAACAAACAAGTTTGAACTATTACTTCCCACCCTTAGCTGAGTGGAGTGGTAGGGCACAACCCAATATTTAACAATATTTACCATTATTTACAGAGCAATCTTAAATAGAGTGATACCCTTCTCAGTCCTCTGAAGTCAACCGGCTTTGAAGAGTGTAAATCAGAAAATGTTAAGGCATCTAAATATATGGGCAGTGTAAGATCAAGAAAGTTGTTTCCAAGGCCATCTGTTCTTATATAATTAAACTAGATCCATAAAACTGATCACACAACGGAAAAAGCTTCGAAGTATGAGACAGCTAGTGAAAATGAGTCTTAAAGAAACCCTCCCGGAGCTTTCCACTTTCTCTTGCAGAATCCAAGTAGACAAACCTTTTTTCAAGCCACTATAGATTGCCCAGCCTTTGTGAATTAAAAATTATATACTTGTTTTGGTTTTGACAAACTAATACGTAAGACTGAATTTCCAACAAAATCTACCTTGTCTCTTTGAATACTTTTTTCATCGAGGATGGGGAAATGCTGCATTTCTTTTCAAGGTTTGTACCAGCCCTCCACCTCTGAGCTCAGCTTAGGAACCTTCTCACCCCAGGGTAAATTTAGGGGGAACAGCTTCAAGTACCCCCAGCTGATCATTTTCTATTAGTCTGCCTGTTCAATATTACCACACTTAAGTACTGTCACAGCAGAGGACACAGATGTAGGGCATTTGATAAAGTCTAGATGAAGGAGCCAAATGCAGAAGAAAAAACAGGTTGCTTACCCGTAACTGATGATCTTCGGGTGGTCATCTGTGCATTCACACACATGGGTTCTGTGCCTGCACTCGAACCCGACCTCGGAGAACTATAAGAGCTAGCCTCTGGTTTTGGTGCGCTTCCTTCCCACACTCTGGGGAGCAGACATCTATTGCGCATGTCTGGAGTGGGGAAGGAAACGCCCTCCCACTCAGTTTCTTCCGGTCACTGCTTGCAAGTCCCAGAAGACAAGCAATATGTGTGGGAGATGCCAGCAGTGGGGAAGGCTGGGTGGGCGTGTGTGACTGCACAGATGACCACTCGAAGATCATCAGTTACAGATAAGCAACCTGTTTATCTTCTTCATGGTCGCTGTGCAGTCCCACACATGAGTGTTTAGTAAGCTTCACCAGTAGGATGGCGGGTGCCAGCAGCTCCACATTGGAATAACCATCGCACAGCAAAAAAGGGGTGAAAGACGCCAATCATCAGTGGAAGACGAAGCACAGCACAGATTGGCTGAAGAACACAACCCGTCATGCCCTAATATCAAGGGCATAATTTATCAAGAAAGTCCTTTGCAAGGACCATGTGGCAGTAGCCCAAATGTCCTCCAGAGGGACACCCTTGAGAAAGACTGATGACGCAGAGACAGCCCTAGTCGAATGGGCTCTCAGTGTGACAGGTAAAGGTTGTTTCGCCAGCATGTAACAGAACAAGATAGTTGAGGTGATCCATTTTGACAACATTGGGAGAAAACTTTATGCCCCAGATGGGGCTTGCTGTAAGCCACAAACAAACGAGAATCCCGTTGAAAAGAAGACATTCTACAGAGGTAGAAGGAGAGTGCTCTGCGGATGTCTAATGTATGAAGGGCTCTCTGGCCATCATCTGTCAGGTAGGTGAAGAACATGGGCAGCACAACAGGCTGAGAAAGTGAAAACCCAACACTACTTTGGGTAGAAAAGTAGGATCAGACCAAAGGACCACCTTGTCCTTGTGGAAAATGGTATACGGCGGGTCAGCACGCAAAGCACAGAGATCGCTCGCTCTCTTAGTCGAGGTGACGGCTACCGGAAAGGCTGTTTTCCAGGGTAGAAGGTGCAGAGATGTAGTTGCGAGGGGCTCAAATGGCTCACCCATGAGTTTGGAAAGAATGAGGGACAAACCCCAGGCTGGAACAAGTGGTTTAACAGGAGGATGTAACTTCAACATACCTTTTAGGAATCATTTTGAAACATTATGGGAGAAAACAGTTCTCCCCTCAATGAAATCATGAAAAGCAAAGATCACAGATAGGTGCACCTTCAATGAGGAATAGCCCAAACCCGACTGATGAAGGGAGACTAGGTAGGTGAGGATCACAGGCAGGGGTGCAGTTTTCAGGTCCTCTCCCCAACTGGTAGCATAAAAAACGAAATGTCGCCACTTTGCCTGGTAGGAACGACAAGTAGTTGGCTTTCAGGCATTCAAGATAACATATTGAACCTCTGGTGGGAAGGTTAAGCCGTTATTCACCATGCAGTCAGCCTGCGAAAGCTGGAGTCGTGATGGAGGAACTGGTTGTGGTGTTGAGAAAGAAGGTCTGGAGGCAGTGGAAGGCACTGGTAGGTTGCAATAGACAATTTCAGAAAACTCGCAAATCAGGGTTGTAGAAGATGGGCTGCAGATAGCAAGGATTCAATGACCATTCGTGTTCGACTGACTGTGTCTGGCTGAGATCTGCTTGGGAGTTCTCTATGCCTGGCAGATGAACCACCGTAAGGTGGATGCCCTGTGACTTGCACCAGTGCCACCAAGCTAGGGCCTTTTTGCAGTTTCACGGACACTTTTCTGCCCTGCTTGTTTATATAATAGACTGTAGCCATGTTGTCCGATGTGATCTGTACATGAACATTGTGAAGAGCTGGCAGGAAGGAACGAAGGGCCCAATGGACCACCATGAACTCCAGGCAATCAATATGTTGGGTCCATTCCAATTTGGATCATTAACCCTGGGCTATAAATGCCACGCAGTGGGCTCCCCAACCCCACAGTGAGGCATCAATAGTGAGAATGGTGCTCGGAGGAGGAAGTCGGAGCAGCATTCCGGTTAGCAAATTCTCTTCCTGAGTCCACCACCGAAGAGTTGAGAGGACATTGGGTGGCAATGTGAGAAGTGTCAGTTGATGCAGATGAAGGGGGTTGAAAGTACAGATGAACCACAGTTGAAGGGGCCGTATCTGGAGCCTGGCATACAGTATTACATACGTGGTCACGGCTATCATCCCTAGGAGGCGCTGCCAAACCAGGGCTGGTTGCGTGGGAGAGGACAGTACACTCAGAACCAGAGAGCGCAGCATAGAGGCTCTGTCCATTGGGAAGAAGGCATGCTGTAGAGAAGTGCAAATTCATGCTCCTATGAATCCTGGATGGGGGTCAAGCAGGAATTGGAAAGGTTCACACAGATACCCAGGGACACCAGTAGCCAGAGCGTGGTGGACACATCTCAATGAAGCTGATGCTGGGAGTGGGAGACTAGCAACCAATTGTTGATGCAGGGAAAAACAGTGATCCTGCGTTGTCGTAGAAAAGCAGCAACCGCTGCCATGCACTTCATGAAAACTCTCAATGCCATCGAGAAACTGAAGGGGAGCACCCGGTATTGGTAATGGTTGGGTCCCACTGTGAATCTCAGGAAATGACGGTGTTGTGGGTGGATGGTGATGTGGAAATAGGCATCCTGAAGGTCAAGGTATGCCAGCCAGGTGCCCTTGGGGATCAGGGGGAGGATCGATTGAAGATCCAGAAATTTTTGTGCAGAATGTGGCAGTTGAGTTGTTGCAGGTCCATAATGGGGTGTTTGCCTCCATCCCATTTCAGGACAATAAGATATCAGGAGTAGAATCCCTTGTGATGTTGAGTTTGAGGGATGTGATCTACGGCTCCCTTGGCTAGAAGGCTTGAACTTCCTCGTGGAGGAAACTGGAAGGGAGCATCGCCATGAAAGGAGGGACCTGTGGGGTTGAAAGAAACTTGGCATATCCTAGGCAAATGATGGTGAGGACCCAGGTGTTCGTGGTGATGGATGCCCAGGTGTCGATGAAAGGGCACAGCTTGGTGCCTCAGGATATGATAACCCATGGTGGGTGAGGAGAACTGTGCTGGAGGGAGTCAAAAAGACTGTTTCACAGGA